ATATATACACATACATTAATATATCGATATTACTGATAATCTTATTAGCGATATCAATAATATCGTAAGATAAGAAAGATACCAGATACTATCAGAAATTTGTTGCAAATGAAAAGTCAAAGAGAAAATTTTTCAATCGGTTTTTTTACCGAAACGGATAGTAAGTAAGTTTCTTAGCGTATCGAGAAAAATACATGTCTTTTTTTTCTTTTGTCGAAGAGCGCTCCTACAAAGTTTAATCGAAACTCTGTGTTGCCTTTGAAAGGCTTTTCTCGTTAACGGCATGTCCCGGCTGATAATTGTAGCCGGTAAAACGGTAATATCTGGCCTGGTTTTGGCTATACTTTCATCAAACGATACTATGAGAGGATTCTATTGATGAAAGGAAAATATATGGTTTTGCGATAGGGAACCGAATCGTTTCGACCAAATAATGAAGAATATTGCTGTTGATTTATCGTTAAATGTCGCGTCTATTTTTTCCGTGTCAAAAATTGATTTCCATTTTGAAATATATAAAATTTAATATCTAATATAAATGTTATAGGATGATATAATATATATATATATATACACACAAAATGTGCAACTTTTCTTTTTTTTTATTACTTTCTACAGATTTAAAATGTTTATGAGTTTAAAAAATATATATATGTGCTTATTGTTAACAGAGAATTCTTATATTTTTGTTCTAATGCATATTTGAAATAGAGAGATAATTGAAATAAAGAAAAAACGTTACTGTATAGTTCGATTTTTTGGAAGCTATATATTAGTTTAAACACATACACACACATATGTACGCCCGCACGCACGCACGCACGTACACACACACACACACACGTATATATATATATATATATATATATACTTATTTATTTCTTTCCCTTGTATTGTCGTTTTGCAATTTACCGTTACCCGATATTTCTCATTAGGAAAGAACTTCAATAAATTGAATACGAAGACAAATGTGCGCGTGCTTTTATCTACGTTGGTCTCAGGGAATGCATCCATCGCCTCTGGTAATCCGCCTTTATACGTTCGCTGAGGCAGATGGTCGATATACCTGTTCAACCTTAATGCCTTACCGCTCCAATCTGGCTGATCTACATCAATTTCAAAATTATCCAAGTTTCCCTGTGATTCCAACGATCCACAGTAATAAAGACAGAGCGCGAGCCGTTACCAAGACAACCGGTGAATTGCCGATTCTTGCAATTTCTGTGTTAATTACGGTTGCACGAGTTTGCGATTGTGAATAAACGGCTTCCCTTGACTATCACTCTTACTGGCTCTTTTCACTGCAATTTGATTTCACTTGCAATTTTCAATGCGAAAGCCGGCTGTCTTTTGTGACTTTATAAAACTGCTGTACGAGAGATTGTATATCGTCGTACCGTGGTTTCTTGTCGTCAGTAATTAAATTAAAGTAATTAAATTACGCTGACGAATGTTATTTTACGCTGTC